AACAAAGATAAGTTTTAGACATAATTATATATTGTAGAGATCATAAAACTAACAAATAGTTGGATTAAATGTAACTACATTAAAAGGATACTATTAGATTTCAACCATGCAGTTCTAACTATGTGGCGTAGAATTCATTTAATAAAATGAAAGAAATATAACAATTATAGTTTTTAACGCTTTGTTATATTTTGAAGTCAGTCTAGCTATATTAAAAATATAAAATATGAGAAATTATTTCCAATATTTATATATTTTTTAAAAACTATAATTGATAAAACAATTAATACATGAATACTAGTTTAAGATAAATATTTAAATATATGAAATATTTAAGTACTTATTTAGCACTAATTAAGTACTAACATACATAAACATCTCTACAACAACAATAATTGTCCAGACTTGACGCACCCCTTAAGAAATAATAAATAATAGAGATAATATTATTATTTTATCCTTTGATTTTATTAAATTTAATGTTTTGTGAAATGTGTTAGATGATAAATAATATTTATTAGTAAGGGTAAAATAGACACGAAAAGTAAACTATCTCTTGATTTTCTAAACTGAACAAATATTGTTGGACAACTGTTTTTGGTATAGTGAATAACTATTGTTTGACTGAGGGAGTATTAACAAAAATTTGAATGTACATATATAGGATTATTATATAAGAATATCAAAATAAAACAATTAGTGGCAGCTTGAAGTAGAATCGCCACTACTACTCTATGTTCTGTGGCGACTAGTGTTTTTGCCGCTAAAATTAGTACTTTTTGTTGCAACCTTTTCAGATCGCCACTAAAACTAAAACTTTTGTAGCAACTAATTTAGCCGCCACAAAATATCATATATCTTGTAGTGGTTCCTATGTTTGTTACTTGAATTTTTACATGTTTGTATGCCTGCTTTTATGTGTTTTAGCATTATAATGATATTTCCTAGATTTTAGATGTCAAAATGAGGAAAAGATCGATGGTTACAAACTAACCACAAACATTTCTATCAAGTTGTAAAAATATTCAGAGACTTTGTCAATAATACACGCAAAATTGGGCAATGTACGAAGCACATGCATTGCCAATAATTGTCATTGTGTAGTTTACTTTAAAGCATAAACCTCTAATTTGTGAGTTCCATGCTGAGTGTCATAAATTAATAAAATAAAAAGAAGAATAAAGTAGAGAGAGAAGAGAGAAGCCCTTTGTTTATAGGAAAAACGAATTTGGTCTTTAATTACAATTCCTAACTTTCCTAAAAGAATAAAATAGATATTTACTATAACATACTAAATTACTAATAAATATATTTGTAATAGATAAAATATTTTGAATATATTTTCTTCAACTTGTTTGGAATTAAGATATACATGAATATTAATTTTGTTTAGATAATAAATAAAGGGGATAAGCCACACGTATCCCCTAAACTATAATCGAAATACCAGAAACATATTTTAACTAAACTAAGTTCCTACTTCCCCCGAGCTCAATTTTTTTGAAATTTTATATACTTTTTGACTTATATGAAACACTCCGTAACTTCACGTAGTTGAAACGCGTGGAAAATGTTTGAATGTCACGTAAGCCAAAAAGGTGTTACTATTGATGTTCCTATCTATTATCATGTCAAGCCTTTAGAAGTGTTACTACTGGTGTTGCTCCAACCTTACAAGGCTTCAATCCATTCTACAAAAAGTGGTCAAGCAAATAAGATGATAATTTATTGTAATTTTCTTCTGCAACATTTTTTGCACATCTCGCGGGTACTATATTAGTAGTTAAATAGTAAAAGAAATGAAATTATAAGAAACTCTTAGAGTAATACTATAATTACTAGTAAGAAAGAACAATGAAACTATTCTTTACTATCTAACTAATCTTCTATTCTACTTTGTGTCATTTCACTACATCAAAAATGATCATTAGGCCCCTAAATCTTGTTAAATTGGTTCTGACATCACTAAGTGGAAAAATAATACGGTGATATAGTTGATGACACTTCATATTATCTGCCATAGATATTTCATAAATAAATAATATCAAACTTGATTTCACTTAATTATTGACCCGAAGTCATTTTTTAAATTAAGCATTCATGTCATTAGTTGAAAAACAATACTTGATATAGTTGGTGACACTTAATTTTATTTAAAAAAATAATATACAGTAAAACCTTACTAAATCAATACTTGGTTAATTAATAACCTCTCTAAAAATAATATATTTCTCCGGTCCCGATTGGACCAATGAAAATAATCACTCATTTTGATAAAATAATAAGATAATATATTTTCAGAAGACTCCTATATAAATATACGGTCTCATTAATATTATAAATTAATAATTCTTTAAAAGTACAAATATATCTAAGACAATTTAGTGAAATATGATTCTATTGTATTATGTTTTTTGTTAAAATTTAAATCTAGTTGAAGCTCATCTCTAACTTTTCTTATTACATCCAAAAGTTTCGGTGTTGTCTTTTCGAACTGCACCATAAAATTATGAAGATTTCTAAATGCGATAAATGTTTCCTTATGCGTAACTGGTTCCAAAGGTATTGTATCATCTTCAACTTTATCATCAACATTATTTTTTTCAATTGTATCCACAATTTCTTCTAAGCGCTGGACCTTTGAACATGTATCATTTTCACTCATCAAACAAGTTATTAACGTCCATTTTATTGCAGTAATCGAGATCATTAAATTCATGACCTCGAGTTCATGAATGATGTTTTCACAAGTGAGTTTATTAAATTCTCTGAGATTTCATCCCTGAACAAATATTGCGGTGTCGAAACACTCTTTAAGTTAATAAATATTAATTTATTGATTAAATAATACATCTATAAAATAATAATATTTTATGATCTCACCTATATTAATTTAGTGAGAGTTTACTGAAGTTGATGAGACATAATTTATTTTAATAAATAAAGTATGTAATATGATTGAGGGTGTGATTAAATCCCCGAAATAAATATATTGTATTAATTTATTGAACATCAATTTCACTGTATGAATCAATCCACAAGGTTAGGTTTAATTTATCAGTCATTGACTACACTAATTATTAATCCAGAGTCATTTTTTAGATTAAGTATTCACATCACAAGTTGAAAAATAATTGGCATAGTTGGTGACACTTCATTTCATCTGACATAAAAAAACACTTCTCAATAATAGAAGGAATAAGGATTTAATTTCCGTTTAATATTACAGTTATATCTTCCATTAAAATATTTCATAAATAAATAATATCAAACTTGACTTCACTTAATTATTGACCCGATGTCATTTTTTAAATTAAGCATTCATGTCATTAGTTAAAAAATAATACTTGATATAGTTGGTGACATTTAATTTTATTTAAAGAAACAATATAGTAGGTGAGTCTTAATTTTATTTTAATATAAACAAATAATGGCTAATTTTAGTATTAAAATCATTTAATTAACACGACTTAGTCATAGGAGTATATTTTAATATATATGTTTTTCTAAATAAATTAAGTAGAAATTATATTAGTTTCAGACATAATTACATGAAGATCGCAAAACTAAAAGATGGTTAGATTTATTGTAATTCCAGTTCGCATAAGTATTGATATGATTTAAATTGATAAATGTTATTAATGGAATTTAACCATACAGTTAGGAGTGTCAAAAGAGCATGAAAAATCGACCGAATCAATCGAACGTAATTGAACCGGATCATTGTTTCAATAAAATCATGAACATTGATCTAAGTCTATAACCGTCCCGAACAATTGAGATGATCTTTTTAATTTATGAAAAAAACCAAAAAAAAATCGAACCGAACCGAATAACCTTACGTACATATAAATTTATTTTATAACATTTTTCAACTATAAATATAACCTAGGTCCTCCGCCTCGGGTGACTGGATGACTTTGGGTCATTGCTCTTTAATTAGCCCTTTTTTTATTTAGGTTTAAAATTAAAAGATGCTATAATAGAAAATCTATTAAACAATATAGCAAAATCTATGCAAGCACTCCTATTAAATCTTTAAGATTAAACAATGCGGAAACAAAGTTTTACATTCATGACTTTTTAGAGAAGAATTAAAGTGTTTTTCAAGAACATATTTGCGAAAGAAATATTTTAATAATAATATATTTGAGGTGATATTTTAAGAGTAAACAATAAATCGAATATTAACCAAATCGTACCGATATTGACGAGAAACCGATATGATTGGGATGATTTAAAAAAAATCTAATTTTGGTTATACATTATAAAATACCCGATAAATTGAGATGATATAATTTTAAAAAAATAATCGACTGAACTGTTCCACTGACACCCCTACATAGAGTTGTATATATGGAGTAACATTCATTTTGAGTATATTTTGTCCTAACTTGTTTGGAATTGAGATAATAAATAAAGTAAGTAATATGATTGGGTGTGTGATTAGACCCCCCGAAATAAATACTCCCCTCCGTCCCTTTTTTAGTTGTCCACTTTTAGAAATTGCACACAGATTAAGACAACAATGATTATCACAGTGAAGTTACAATTTTACCTTTATGACAACTTTTCACTTCAAAATTACAACCACTTATTTGAATTTAAGTGAAATAAATTGGAGGGAAACAACATACACTTTTACAATTTTCAAGAAGTGTAAATAAGGGTATAATAGGAAAAAATTTGTTGTCATTTCTTGATTTGTCAAAATGGACAACTAAATAGGAACAATTAAAAAAGAAAATATGGACAAGTAAATAGGGACGGAGGGAGTATATTGTACTCCCTCCATCCTTTTTTATATGTCATCATTTTTATAAATAGTTAAACCACAATACTTGTCATTTTAGAAAATTTATACATAAATTATCATATTTTTGAGCCTCTTGGCTATGATTAAATAGAAAGTTAACTTCAAATATATATAAAGCGCGAAGATCTCATTGCTGAAAAGAAAAAAGTAGCGTGTATCTTCGAGAGATGACAGATGCAGGGGTGAACTTTCTGGTGGGGAATTTGTTGGATCTGTTAAGTGGTAATATAGATCTGATTAGAGGGGTAGACGATGAGTTCAAAAATTTACTGGAAGAAGTGCAACGCCTGAAAGCATTCCTTGACGATGATGCTAAATTCCACAGCGAGAGCAGTTTATGGGATCAATTGGTGAAAGAAATTCAAAAAATGGTACATAAATCTGAAGATGTAATTGATAAATTTCTGATTCAATCTAAGCTGCATCGAGATAAGAATAAAGTTGAAAGATTCTTCGATGTCGGTCATATGGCAGTAGTTAGGGATCTTGCAGCTGAAATTAAAGACATCCATGAGAAGGTGAAGAAACTTCGGCAAGACCATACAGATTCTTTCAGTCCTAAACCACTTCTTGACATCCCTGAAAAAGCCCACCAAGTAACCCAGGTATGCAACTTTCCATATCTTATTTTATTTTTAAAAATATATCGAATTAATGTTAATTAAATTAACTTTCGAAATTAAAAATAAATGAAAAGACTACTTATTTATTTTATGGGTAAAAAATGATCATTCATAAAATAAAGAAAAGTGGTAGGGGGTGGAGTGGTAAAAAAACATTTTTACCCTTTTTTTTTTTTTGGAATAGGGGTCGTGGGGTGGGGTGGGGTGAGCGGGCTGGTAGATTGGGTGACGAAAAAAACTTTAAATTTTTTATAAAAGAAACAAACTAACTTTTTTTTGGGTTAGGAGGGCCAGGGGCTGATAGGGGTGGGGTGATAAAAAAAAGTTTTAAATTTTTTTTGTTTCTAAAGCTTTTAACAAGATCCTTGCGATAATATGGGAATTCATATTTATTCATATTATTTATTGGATAATTAAGTTTTTATTCATTTAAAATATAAATCAAATACTTTATATATTTTTATTTAATTTGTTTTCGATCTACTCATATTCAATTCTGACTTATTCGTTTTTCGCTCTTAGGCGTGAGAGAGTAAATGGCCAAAAACATCCTTTAAGTATACCTTAAACTCAAACTACATCCTTATATTATTATTGTGAACAAAAAACATCCCTGAACTATTTTGAAAGTTACAAGTTACATCCCTCCTTAATTTTCTATCAAAAATCTAACGACCATCTCCTAATGAAAAGAGATTTTGTCCCGTCACCGTCTTCTTAAACATAGAACAAACATTGTCTTTGCTAAAAGTATTTGTGAATGAATTTGAAATGTCATTTGTGGAGCTTTTTTTCCTACGTTGATTAGACAAGTCTTTTTTTTTTTATTTTAAGAACTTGTTTTCTTAGATAAAATATTTTTCAAAAACTTTGGCCAATTAAATATGAAAAATTGAAAATATTTTTTTTTAAATTATTTTTCCCAGCACCAAAACACACATTAATTAAGAGTTCAAATCCTTCTATTTTAGTATCACATAAATTTTTTTATGTCCAAAGACAAATCTACAAGGTAAACATCTGATTTTTATGTTTAAAGTTTTCATTTAAATAGTTGAGAGTATAGGAAATTTGATGAATGTCGTTGGAGGAGTAACGTACCAATTAGAAAATGAAAAAATAAAGCAAACTCGGAATAGCATGAGATCAATAAGATTCTTGATAGAAAAGCTAACAACATAATAACAAGCTCAGTAAAATTAAAAAAAGGGACAAACCAAAGTTGAACAAGTCCCGAGTTATAAATCTTTAGGCCTTAATTAATTAATATTCCTACAATAATGCTAGTCATAAAATACCTTTTAATATGATTACTAGTTTACTACTTGATAGAGAAGATCAGTGAGTGGGCAAAATTGTTTGCCTTTATCGGAATGTTGTGTGCTTCTACTTAAAGTGGTTAGTTTCTTGATAGAAAGTTAACAGAAGGATGTAACTTGCAGTTTTTTAGATAGTTGAAGGATGTTTTTTGTTCAATGTAATGATACAAGGATGTAGTTTGAGTTTGAGGTATAGTTAAGGGATGTTTTTAGCCATTTACTCGGCGTGAGAATACTTGCTAATGATAAATTTAAAGAACAAATAGAATAAAGACACGTGTCATAAGAAAAAAAAACTGCACCACTGACAGTCCAACCCCTTTGCCTGATATTATGGTAGTAAGATATCAAACTTTGTTTCATCTCTCTACCTCAACTTTGAAATAGAAGTAAAGTTTGACTACACTATATCCTATCCACTCTCTCACTCAGTGTTAGTACATTGGGCGTGTTGTTGGTTATCAAAAAAAATTTATGCTCATATCCTACTTAAGTCTTGGAAGATCTGTTTGGTAGGAAGTAGGAAATGAAAATGTTTTTCAATTTTTTCATGTTTAATTGACTTAAATGTTTTTCAAATTAATTTATTTTCCTCAAATTTAAGGAAAATGAATTCCCTTCAAAAATTAGAAAAATATTTCTAAAACTCTCCTTCAATCTCAAATTATAATTTGTTTTCTCACCCCAACTCATACCCCCGACCCCCTCCATTAAAAAAAAATAAAAAATTAAAAGTTTGTTTTTGAAAAATATTTTCAAATTTTAATTTTTTTTAGTTTTTCACCCCACTCTTCCCCGACCAGGTCCTGGGTTGGATATCCGGTTCCAATTCGAATGTCAGAGTTTGGTTCTGGGGGTCAGATTTCGGATCGGTCGTTGGGTTGTGTCTTAATTCGTGTGTCGGGTCATGTCCTAGATCAATTATGGAGGTTAGCTTCCATGTGAGAAATTATTTTCTTAAAAAGTACTCCTTCCGTTTCAAAAAAATTGATCTGGTTTGACTTGGCACGAAGTTTAAGAAATTAAAGAAGACTTTTGAATCTCGTGGTCCTAAATTAAAGTTATGTCAAATGTACAAAATTGTGCTTAATCTTGTGGTCTTAAACATGCCACATGGAAAGCAAAAAGTAAAATGTTACCAAAAAAGGAAATATGTCATTTTTTTGAAACTGACTAAAAAGGAAAGAAAGATCATTCTTTGTGAAACGGAGGGAGTACTTATTTTTTACTCTTTAATAAAAAATAAAATAAAATAAAATATTTTCTAAGTCATCAATCAAACATGGGTAGAAATGTTGTTGAAAACATTTTCGGCTCTGTTATCTAATGCAATCCGTTTGATTATTATATATGTTTAGAAGGGTCCTTTGGAGGATGATGAAGTGGTCGGGTTTGATGAGGAAGCTAACGAAGTGATGAAGCGACTTGTTGAAGGAGTGTCGGAAAGTGTGGATATTATCCCAGTAGTGGGTATGGCCGGACTTGGAAAAACTACACTGGCAAGAAAAATCTGCAATGATTCTAAGCTTTCATTTGAATTTTTCAGAATCATTTGGGTTAATGTTGGTCTGGAATACAAAATAAAGGATATTTATCTTACGATTCTCAACTTCTTCACAAAACACATAGAAGATCATTTCAATGAGGATGTGGACGCATTAGCTAAGACAATATGTGGTTTTATGAGTGAAGAAGGAGGTAGATGTCTCATTGTTTTAGATGATGTGTGGGTAGCAGAAGTAGTTGATGCTGTCAAGAAAGTTTTCCCCAGAAACAAAAAGGGGCATCGGATCATGCTGACCACGCGTGATGGATACCTTGCTACCTATACCAATCCAGATCCACATAATTTGAAGCGTTTGACACCATCAAATAGTTTTGAGTTGTTGGAAAAAAGGGCTTTTGGCAATGGAAATTTTCCTGTGGAGTTAGTTGAACTTGGAAAAAACATTGCACAAAGATGCTGGGGAGTACCACTTGCAACAGTGCTAATTGCAGGACTATTAAGAGGTCTTCGGAACAAAAGTGACTGGGTAAGAGTTGAAAGCAATGTGTCGCAACGTCTTCATAACAAGGATTATGATTTTGCTTTATTTATAGAGATGAGTTACGATCGTTTGCCTCAAGAAATGCAGAGGTGCTTTTTATACTGTGGCATCTTTCCTCGGGGCTTTGATATCCCTGCTTGGAAATTGATTCGCCTGTGGATTGCGGAAGGGTTAATAAAACCCCAGCAGTCATCCACTCTTGAGGAGATAGCAGAGCGTCATTTGAATGACCTTGTTCATAGGAATTTAGTGATACTGTTGCAAAAGAGGTCTGATGGTTCAAATAAAGACATGTCGTCTTCACGACATGTTACATGAGTTTTGCAGAACAAAGGCTGCTAACAAATGGCTTTTTCAAGAAATATGTACAACAGTTGATAACGCTATTCCTTCTATACAGGACTCAGACACTTGCCGTCGATTGTGCATTCAACCATCTACTCTGAATGACTTTCTCTCCACAAAACCTTCTGCAGAACATGTCAGATCTTTCTATTGTTTTTCCTCGAAACAAAAACAAACTGACTTGTCTCCTAATGACATCAAACTCATTCACAAGCATTTCCACTTATGAGAGTCTTGGATGTTGAGTCTCTCAAATTTCTTTTCTCCAAAGACTTTAACAATTTATTTCATTTGAGGTATGTTGCTATCTCAGGTGACTTTAAGGCCCTCCCTCCTACCTTTGGTAAATTCTGGAATTTACAAACTCTTATACTTAATACAAGTACCTCAGAGCCCACTCTTGACGTAAAGCAGACATATGGAACATGTTACAGTTGAGGCATCTGCACACCAGCATACCTGCAAAATTGCCGTCCCCTACTATCACCACAGGTAAACCTTCTTGCCTGCAAACTCTTTCTTTAGTTGCACCAGAAAGTTGCAAGAAAGATGTGTTCGCCAAGGCATGTTTTCTAAAAAAATTGAGCATTCGAGGGCAAATGGCGGTTTTTTTTGAGTCCAGGGGTGGAATCAGCAATCTTGAAGAGCTTAAGTGCCTGGAACATTTGAAACTGTTGAATGATGTTCTTTACATGAATAAAACAATTCATCTTCCAGCAACATTCTTCAGACTTGTACGTACAGTGAACAAGTTAACTTTGGCAAACACAAGGTTTTCATGGAATGAGGCGGACAAGTTAGGGCAATTGGAATCCCTTGAGGTTCTAAAGTTAAAACATAATGCATTTGTTGGTAATTCCTGGAAGCCAGAGATTGGAGGTTTTCGCCAGCTCCAGGTCTTATGGATTGAAAGTTCAGCAGAATTAGAATCTTGGGAGGCTTCGGATGTTAACTTCCCCATGCTTAGTCACCTTGTTCTTATCTCTTGTGATAAGCTTGACGCTCTACCAATTGAGCTAGCTGATTTACCTAACTTTCAAGAGATGAGGCTGGAGAAAATGAGCAAAGCCATCGAATCTGCAAAAGCAATAGAGGAAAGGAGGACATCTAAGAGCATCAAATTCAAGCTAACCATATCATGTTGAAAGGTCAGTCAAATTCATTTCATCTGATATATATTTACAAGAGTTCTATCTGCAATACTCTCCTGATCTCATATATTTATGTTTTCGCTTTTCTGTAGGTGAGAGAATCAAGGTGACATTGCTAATAACAAGTCTTGATTCATGAACAAACTTGGGGTACTCTTTATTTCATGTCTTTTTTGCAGTCCATTCATCTAATAAACTTGTTCTAGTAAAGAAGATACTTATTTAAGTTGTAATTTGTGTATTAAAGCTTTGTGAACTTTGATAATAAGTCTCCATTTATGTTTGAAATAATTTTAGCAGATTTCAATTATTTGTTTCACTACAAAATACAGGTTGAAACCTAGGGCCAAAACCGAATGATGGCCTCGGTTTTAAGACAAGACAGACTCGACTACGGCATCCGAATATGCTAGGGTTGGTTTAAGAAAACCGATTGAGTCCCTTGATTAAACCAAATTCAAGTATTTATTGTGACATTGAACAATTCCAGCACTAGTAACCTTTTTTCAACTTTACTACAATACAATTTTTTTATAACATATCAGCCAATTCATGTCCAAATGCGCTCGTCTCATGGACTTGCATCCTTCTTAGGCTGTAAGTGGGTATTTAAGAGAAAATATAATACAGACAGTACTATACAAACTTTCAAAGCAAGATTAGTTGCAAACGGCTTTACTTAAAAGGAAGATATTGATTACTTTGATACAAATGCTTCTGTGGATAGAATAACATCTATTAGAGTAATTTTATCCTTGGCATCTATATATGATTTGTATGTACATCAAATGGATGTCAAAACTGCATTCTGAAATGGATGTTTAAATGAAGAAATCTATATGAAACAATCTGAAGGATTTGTTCTTCCTGGTAATGAACATAAAATTTGTAAGGTAATAAAGTTTCTTTATGGTTTGAAACAAGTACCAAAATAATGACATCAAAAATTTGATCTGATGGGCTTGTACATAACATTGCTGATAAATGTATTTACTCCAAATTTATAAAAGATTATGGAGTTGTCATTTATCTTTATGTAGATGACATGTTGATTTTTGGTACAAACATTCTTGGGATCTCTGAAACTAAGAAATATCTAACTTCAGTCTTAAAAATGAAAGATTTGAATGAAGTAGATACTATCTTAGGTACTAAAGTCAAGAGAAATAATAAGAGAGTGACTTTATCACAAGCCCACTATATTGATAAGTTACTTAACAAGTTCAATCATTTGGGCATAGAGGAATGTAATACTCCATATGATTCAAGTATAAAGCTTACAAAAAATAATGGAATAACAGTGGCATTTCCAGACATTTCCATATTCTGCGATAGTGAGACTACTATGTGCGTAGCTCATAATAAAATGTATAATGGGAAATCGAGACATATAAGGCATGCTTATATAAGAGAGTTAGTTACCAGTGGAATTATAACTATAGTGTATGTGAGATCAAATAACAATTTGGCTGATCCATTTACAAAAGCATTAAATAAAGATGCAGTACAACAAACTAGTGAAGGAATGGGGTTAAAACTCTTAAATTAAACGCAAGTAACGGAAAGCCAACTTTGAGTTAGTATACACTCTGACAATATAAGTTCAATGGGTAATAACAGTATTTGTGTTATTTAAGCACGAGTCTCCTCGCTTAAATTCTTGATTCCGGTGTACTGTTTACTATTATGGGAGGAGTTTAGATTTCTGTAATAATAAATTTTAAAGTGCATACTATTACAAGAAAGAGGATGAGTTAATTCTTAATGAAATTAGCAAATATCTGTAGTAACAGGACAGTCTATTACTTTAGCTAATTCATTCTCACCATTACAACGAAATTCTTTATTGGGTTCCGTATATGATTTGAGAATCACAATAAAGATATGCTTTGCTTCGCTGGACTGTCCCACAGAAACCCAAATGTTGTTGGAAAATTTGGTTCTAATGTGAGATCACTCCATACTTTTCTTGCCAGTGTGGTTTTGCCAAGTTCATTCATACCCACAATAAACCTCCTCTGTTTCTCTATCACTTCATTTGCTTCTTTAATGAACCCAACAATTTGTTTAACCTCCAAGAATGTATCCTCTATATACTCCATTAAGATTGGATGATGTTCAAAAACAAAGCTTAGCCACTCCCCTCTAGTCCATATTAGTGTGTTTGGAAGTGATCTTAGGCGTATTTATATGCCTAAGTTGTCGATAATTGCCCATGTTTTGATTGAAGTAATAAATGATCTTTAGTTATTAGCTTGATTTTCATGTAACTTGCGATGATTGTGCACTAACGCACGTGATTAGTTGTTTTAGGAACCTTTTAAATAAGTTGGAGTGGATTTGGAGAAGAAGAAAAGGGCTAAGGCAAGAACCACCAGTGGCTGGCGCACTGGTTGGTGCAGTGCGCCACTAGTGGAACTTCAGAGAGGACTCTCAGGCGCGACGCGCCAAGGCCCAAAGTTCAGAGGTGCCTGCCTGGCGTACTGCCAGGCGCGACGCTCCAACACTAAAACTTCAGTGGCATGTACCTGGGGCGATGGGAGGCGCGGCGCCCCACCCCTATCCCGACTTTTCCAGCAAAAACAAGATTAAATAGGACTCCTAGTTGAAGTAGAAGTTGGTTCCAATTTTCCTAACATCTATAAATAGACCCCTAGGGCTAAATTGTAGGGGGTTCGACATTATTTTGGTGTGCAAGAGCAAGATTCATCTTTTGTAATAGGTTTTGATCTTCTAACTCTTCTATTTTCCGGAAATCGCATGAACAATTGTATTTTGTGGTTTTCTAATAGTATGAGTGGCTAAACGCCCTAGTTCTGGGGCTGTAGTTACGAATTGATTGTTGATTATTCAAGGTTCTTGAATTAATTCTTGGTTGTCATTATAAGTTCCTTCTATATTCTTGTTTTAGTATTTTTTGCTTGATCACCATAAGATAAATTTATTGTCTAATCTTAAAATCGAGAGAGGAGGGGTTAGATAGACCAGAGAATATAGAGAGCTTGATCAATCCATTAAGTTGAGGTGATTTGTGTTCAGGAGTGACGCCCGAACGAACAACTTGATTGGTTACGAAACATGATGAACTATAAATGCTCTCTAGTCAGGCCTGTTTATCCTCGCTCAACGATGCAGTTAGAAAGCTAACTGAGTAGGTGACTAGAAGTTTAAAACCCGACTCATACAATTAACCCTGTAAACCAGTAACTTGACAACTAAAATTAGTTCTAAGCTGAGAATATGATACATGAGATTCATTGCATGCTGCATGCCTGGAATTGTCTTTTACTTGCTTGAAACATCATCTTAAAGTCGTTCACAATTGGTTACTTTTATTTATTGCATAATTAGTAGTAGTAGTTAACAATCATCACCATTTCTGAAAACGGTTACTTTTATTTTATTTGTAGAGTTAAGTGTTAGATATAAGTTGATCATAAGTCCCTTCGGAACGATAACTCATTTCTTTAAGAATCAATAGTACTTGAGCGATCACTTATTAAGAATAAATATTTATTCACTTTTAATAGATCATATATTCGTTTATGGTGTTTGTTTACTTATATAGTATATGATTTAGTCATGTATAGAGTTTTAACTTATACAAAACTGTTGAATGATGTTGTTTACATGAATAAAACAGTTCAACTTCCTATAACATTCTTCAGACTTGTACGTACCGTGAAGAAGTTAATTTTGAGAAACACAAGGTTTGCATGGAGTGAGGCGGACAAATTAGGGCAATTGGAACCCCTTGAGGTTCTAAAGTTGAAAGAAAATGCATTCATAGGTGACACTTGGAAGCCGGAGGTAGGAGGTTTTAGCAAACTCCGGGTATTGTGGATCGAGTGGGCAGAATTAGAAACTTTGGAGGCATCCAATCTTAACTTCCCCATCCTTAGGAACCTTGTTCTTGTCTCGTGTGATAAGCTCAACTCTGTGCCGTTTGAGCTGGCCTATATACCTAACCTTCAAGAGATGGAGTTAGTAAACACACACAAAGCAGTCAAATCTGCAAGAGATATACTGGAACATAAGATATCTCATGACATAAAATTCAAGTGCAGCATATTCCCTCCTGAAGCTGATCCAAGGCCACACAGTGAAGTTGAAAGTCAGTCGAATTCATTTGTTTATCTTCCACAATTTTCCTCTCTTTGTTTCTGTTTATTTTTTTCATTTACTAAAACTTTTCCTCTTCTTCTGCAGGAGAGAACTTGGACATTGAGCTTGCTGGAAGCCAGAGATCATCAGACAAATAGCTAGCTGGAGTATTGTCATTTTCAAATAAGGCTAACTCGAGTTCCCCCTTCGTGTGGAAGCCACAGGCAAATAACTGTTTGCATCTATCCTATTTTGTTATGGTTATATTTGCTTTGTTTTCATTTGTGTAAAACTCTTGTTAGTTTCTTTTCAATACTAGAAGGAAGAGTTTGTTGAATTGTGAAATATATATACTTAAGGGCAGTGTTATTGACATGCCTCCTGCTATAAAGAATTCTCTACATGTATTTTCGTTAAGATTTCCAACAAGACTACTGCTCAAATGATCATCTTCATCTGAAATCGGAATTGATTGAACTTAATTAGATGGGAGAGATTTTGCATCTAGCTCATGAAAGAAATTTGCAGAGGGTGTGATTACCGTATTTGCCTATTATAGTTGTTATGCTTTATTTTTGTGTTTTAATGAACTTGAAAAAAAAACATCAATTTTCGTAGTTGAGTGACGTTTTAAAATATTAACTCATTAGTTTCCTCATCAAAACCGAACCACTTCATCACCCTCCAAAATAAGTCATTCAAACATGCTCTTGTTGGATAATTGAGCTGAGACATCAAAATACACAATATATATATATATATTTATTTTTATTTTTAAATATTCTCTTTCTAATTAAAGGCATGAATAAAAAGAATTTGCATGAATCATGAATAGTATGCGGAACAATTAACGGCAGAAAATCTAATTTCGAAAATTACTGTTTCAGCAAGTAATTAACACTAATAATAGTATGCTTCATGTTGTTTAACCTAGTTTTTTCTTTTATGGAGAACTTACATAAATCTCACTAGTTTAGCAGCTAATTATTTAGATATACACACTCCAGTTTATAATATTTCGTATCTTACCAGATTTGGTGCATCCAAATACATTCAGATACATGTATCACGGGATACATGAGGTCAAAATTAGGTGTAATTTGTTATAGCTACATTGTATCCAAGTAGATTCGCATGTATATGTGATACATAATAAACCTCACTCGCCTCCCTCGTCTCTCTCCCATCTCGCTCGTCACTCTCGTATGTATATAGTGTCCAAATACATGTGAATCACACTAGACACATGGATACTTACAAATCACACCAAATACATGTATCTATAGTGTGAATTGTGATCTCATGTATTTAGGATACATAATGAATTTCACTCGCCTCCCTTCTTATTTTAGTGTATCTTGTAATAAACATACATATATTTAAGTGTATCTTCCTTAATATATGATAGAAAACTCTTGACTAGTATTGACATACGTAATATTTTGAAAGTATAGGTAATCATAATATATATGGTAGTACGTAGTCCTCTTTCCATTTTTTTTCTTCTATTTATTGGACCTAATAAACTATATAACCACGAGTAGCCCAAATTCATCTTTCTAACTGGGCCGGCGGGAACCCAATAGACGAAATTCGACCCGAAAAATGATCGGTATTCTTAGGAGAGAAGGAAAAGAGAAAAAGAGTAGATGACTGATTGAAAATGACCCTTCAATTTTGTGGACTCTCTTCTCTAATTATATTCACTTCTAGACCTTTCTTCTCCTACTTAACTTGACAAACTTAATGCATTACACCACAAGTTTCTACTGAATTTTTCTAACAAATTTTCCCATTTTTTCTATGTGATTTTCACTATATTTCATTGTTATTGACTGGATTTTGGGAAAGAGTGAATCAGAAAAATGATGATAAATTTTCAAGGTTTTTCAAAGCAGAAATCTCCTCAGGTATTGTAATTTGATTTTATTAGCCAATTTGCTCTAATTTTGTGGTTTTGATTCATTGATCAATGTTGTTTGGAAATTGAATATTATAATGCATAATGATGATGATGCTAGCTAGTCACATTAGGAAAAATGAAGCCGTGCTGGCTGCTTAGTTGAATGTGTTGATCTGGATTCTATATAAGGAGTTGATTTGCATCTGGATATGGAATAGAAAGTTTGAGATTTGTTGAGTTTTGATTATTTGTGGCGATAATACCAAAATATCAAGTTGTGTGCTGTCGTTTATATCTCTTTTTACCTAATAATTGGTAGAATATGTCTTTCTCGTAAGTGGTATACTTACACCTATATATGTCAAAGTTTCTAGCCTTTCCAAAAAACTTCAGAAGCAAATTTGCTTAGGAGTTCTAAGAGTAATTTGCCAGCTGATTTTAGTGTGTGTTGATAAATATATTATCGACTTGCTACATGCTTTTTCTCTTGCCTTGTTTTGATTTTTGATATGTAAGGCTAGTGGAGAGTTTTGATTTTTGTACTTAAGAAGGGTAAAGAAACAATTTTCACTCGAATTTTGCCAAATTAGCCGTACATGCTCTCTGAATAGAGATAAAAACAGTAGGTGATTGATTATTTTTATCTGCCTAAGCCTTGGTGGTAAAGTGTTACCCGGTAGCTGTGCTGGTGGGAAGTAGTAGGTATATACAGTGAAATAGTCCAGGTGCACGCAAGTTGGTCCGGACACCACTCTTAATGGAAAAAAGATAGTCATGCATTCCCCCTTTTGAAAGAGTGTTTAGAAAGGACCTAACTGTTCAAACATATCATATATGTCCTTTATTTCAAGCAGAGGTGAATCTGGCATATTTTTTTCTATGCTGACCATTTAAATTACTAACTAAGACACGTGGAAGAAAGGAAAGAAGAGAAAACGTCCAGATTTGTCCTTGAACTTTGCAAAGTTAGTCATCAACGCTCTCTTATGTTACTTTTGATCTTTATTTAAGAAGGGAACCACTACTATCATAGTCGATAACCAAGAAGAGCTTTCAGCATCCTCTTTGAAATTCTTAATTTTTTGCAAATGTACCATACAAAAAATATTTGATTGAATTTGTTCCATGCCAGTTGACTAATATAGAAATAGGGGCATGGATGGCTACATTTGCGGAGTATAGGAGCAAATTTAGACATCTTCTGTTTTCCTTTTCGCGTGTGTCACTTGCACGACAATTGTGCCAGTTGGAACTCTGTTAAAAATGAAGGGCATGTATGATAAATGGGTAATTTAAGCAGACTTTCAAGGAATGGCATAGGATACTAATTTTGTGAAGTTCAGGATCAAGTTTGAACCTTTTCTCATTTAAGAGTATTCTTCTATGAGTATTTCTGGAACACTTTGAGCTCAGGATACACTGATATTGGAGGTGGATGCAACTTCCACCTTAAGCATTTAGGTAAATAGATATCTAACAGTGAAATTGTATAAATTCAACTCCTTACACCTGAATAATGAATTCCAATGGGGAAAATTTAAAAAAAGTTGTGTACTTTTCAGACTATAGCTGTATGGTTCTAATGACATCGCAATTTGATTTTCATTGGTTTTACCTGCTAATGTTGACAGGTTCTATTTGAAAATGCATTACCAGCGTCTGATCCTGGCACACTGGAGCAATTAAAAGAGTTGAGCTCCAGAAGGAGAGCCATCGAATCCATCAATCAGAATAGCTTTGTGACTGAGGCCATTGCTAGAGAAATGTCTGGGGGATTGACTTCTCGATGTGAACAGGTAGTCATTTTGTTTGACGTGCTATCAAGAAAGCATAAAAAATGTAGTTTCAGTGAGACCCTTTTCATCTTTGTTTGTGTCCTAAATTTTGTAAAATTTCTAAATGATATTGCTTACTCCTTTCCAACTTGTTTAAGTCTTTGTATATTACCTGCTTGCTAACATAGCGACATGGTAATAATGACATTCTGTGTCACAAATTCAGCTGGACAAATGGGCTAGCTGGCCTTTTATACTGACCAACTGCTTCCTAACCTTTCAAAAGCAACAAACAGTGTAAGAAACTTTCTCATTTTGATTTTGTTTCAATCTATACAGAATATACAGAAGGTAGAACAATATTTGCCACTTTTGGGGAACTTGATACATCATGTAAATATAGTTGGTGACAACCCGAAGATGGCTCAATGGATTTCTGACCTAAAGATTAGGTGGAGCAGCTCTCTCGCTCCATCCTCCTTTTTCCATCTTAGCGGTCCAAAACTTTATCAAATGGATAGTTTGCATTTTGAACTTGGTATGACAACTTTCGTTCTTGGAGCATTGCTTCGAGATCAAGCTCTGGAAGTTCTGTCAACAGGTATGTGTTGTATATATGTTCTCATCTCTATCTTTTTATGGAAATGTCTTATTTATCTCCCATATTTCAGATCTAGTGCAATCTGCCACCGTTCTCAGAAAAGCTGCGGGAGTTTACCAACATCTAGCTCAGGTTGTCCTTCCGTGTTTGCAGCCTGAGTTGGCACAAGAAAGGCCACCAGAAGCTCTAATTAGTGTTTCTTCTGCAACCACCCTTGTTTGTTTAGCTGAGGCACAGGTTAGTCTTAATTGTTATCTGGTTTTCTTTTTTCTTCTCGAGGCTCTCCAATAATGATGCTATCTATATTTTCTAAATCAGAATTTGAGCATCAACGTGTTCTGTTTTCCATTTTATCTTTTGTTTGGATAGTAATAATGTTCTGTTTTTGCTTGCCTGATGTTGGACTTAGGCTGTGACAGTGAAGAAGGCAGAGCAAAAAGGGAATACTGGAGGACTTTTGGCGAAGCTGCACTATGGTGTTTGTGAATTTCTTAATGAAGCTATTCATACCTTGAATTCAGCCACCAAGCAGTGCAAAGACATTTCATCTTTAACGGTATGCTTGTTGATCTACTTCTTTCGTCTTTTCTTGCTCCCCTTATTGGTTCTTTATATACCGATGCTTTTGATATGCTTTAGATTCATCAGTATCGCTGAAAGCTTTTAGCTTCAAGAACCTTTTCTATTATTATTATGATTTGACTTTCCGGAAATTATAAACATGCTTACTATTGCAAGGGTTGACATGAGTCTTTGGGTGATATTTCTTGCCTATACAGGACTATATTACGACCTGTAAAATGCTGCATGAATTACTTAGTTACAAGTATCTCGCTGAGAGTCTAAAGACCGATGGGAAAATAGGCTTTGCTATCGGAGTTCTTTATCATGTGATACAAAGTTCAGAAAAACATACACCAAGAGAAGAGTCATGGAGACTAGTTTATAAGCAAGTGATTGATGACTTGACTGTGCTGCTCCGGAAGTATGAACACGAGAATGAGTTTGTCTGGCACGAGAAAATTCCGATGCAGGATGAGTTGCCGGTACCTCAAGGTGTCAAGATTGTTAGTTCCATAGTTTATCAACCACAAAGGTGGGAAAGAACACTTGTTTTCAAAATGTAACAGTAAATGTTCTTTTGTTGAGAGGACTTCAAAGTCCATCTGAGTGTTTTGAAAGGTGAGATATTATTCTTAAAGCATTTTTCTCTAGTGTAAATTCCCAATTTTTTGTGCATTTCTGGCACCACTTATATAGCTCAGAACGAAAATTTTTACTGTGGATGAGGTACAACTTGTACTAGTTATGTGAGGATATTTTTTATTGCAATTATATTCCGATCTATGAGACTCATGCTTTATTTTTCATTATTTGTCTTTTGTATCTCTTTCATGCTCTTCTCTTTCCTCTTTTGTTTCCTTAGTTTTTCTTTTTTAAAAAAATTATTTGGAAACCGAATACCATATTAATAAAGTAAGATAATTTTAAAATAAGTTTAAAATAAACTAAAGCAAGTGTCCATAAGCAATTTTTCTAGGCTCATAAGCGTAATATATACAATAATTTATTTAAATCATAATATGTCAATAATGAGATCATGCTAGAACCATGAGACTTGCGGAATGTTTGATACCTTCTCCTCGATTAACATAATATCTTACCCAAATTTTTTCTTCGCAGACCAATTAAAATGAAGAGTCAACTTTTTTTTATTAGAGTTTCACCAAAATTCAATTTTAAGTGGCGATTCTAAATAAAATAAATATTTTTTGAAAATAGTCCCTTTAATTGAAAAACCTCGATGAAAAAAGGAATGTGACAGTCATACAGATACTCTTGAAATGACCGAGATATTAAAATGTGAACAATACAACTTCAAAACCTGTGAGACTGAATATACTATGAAATTATTATTTAAAAGTTTGTATACATAATATGTATATTATTCAAATATATTACATTATTTATTTCAAACGCTAGCTAAAACTAGCCAATATTGTCAAATATTCATTACACAAATACGAACATACACACATACATAATGTATAGAACCATTCAACATTATAGATTTTCTATTACTTGAGAAGGTGACTTTCAATATCTTTGAGTCCAATAATGAAAACACCCAAGAGTGTGAGAGGCTCTGGGGTATCTTCAGTTTTCTTCTCGTACATAAGTGTGACAGTTGTCCACTGATGTTCACTAGATGTGATGATAGTAAAGGAATCATACAACTCTAACATATTTCCTCCAATCACTTTCCAAGTGGTCGATTTCTTTTCAAGGTCAATCGATTCAATCTTTTCTTTAAGAAGCATTTCCTTTCCATCTGTAATTATTAAAAAACAAATACAAGAGATGTCACTCCTAATTTAAATATTTGAATCCTCATAAAAGCATAAACATTCACAAAATAATATTCTCATCTAATTTAGTTTGTTTTTCCTCATTTTCATTTTTCACATTGGGGAGAATATGAGGATTAGTAGGACAAGCTATAAATTTGATTGTATTGTGTTTGGTATGAGTGAAGTAGTTCTTCATGTTTTTTTTTTTGAAATATTTAAAAAATATTTTCTGATGTTTAATTAGCAAGTAAAAGATATATTGGAAATTTTTTATATTAAATATTAATAATATTGATAAATCATAGAGTAGCAGAACTTTTGAGTATTAAAGAAACGATTTCTTAGAGTTAGAAGGAGCAAGTAGAAATAAAGTTAAAAGTTAAGGTAATTTTTAATAAAGATAAGACTTCAAGTCACAGGGTGAAAGAAGTTATATATGTTTTTCCTTTTTAATGCAAAATTTCCTACTTTGAAATATATTTATGGTAAATTTCTTTTTATGAAGATCTCACCGTCTATCAAGTCTCAAATACAATAAAGTACAAAGTCAAGATATATTCTGATTAATATTATATTTCATGCCCCTCATGTATATTAGATAGAAAGAACCTTCTCAATCAGTTTAAATTTATAAGAATTAAATTAAATTAGTTATTAAAATTTCCTTTGTTGTATAGTATAGACACGTTTATGCACATGACGCTTTAAACTTTGTTTTTTTACCAAGTAATTAGTTAAGGGGTAAATAACAAAAATAAATAAATAAATTCAAAGGGGTGATAGGACCCCAACATAAGTTAAGTGTAACTGACAATTTCAACATAGTTATATCTTAGGAAAAACTACCTAATTACACATAAATCACTACCATATATACTATATCTATCTCTAGTTTAAAATAATTACACATACTACCATTTTTAATATTTATACCATATATTTTAAAATATTTAATCAGATACACTAATCCCTTAAATATGATATTTCATAATTATCTTAAATTTAAACTCCTTAATTAATGATCCATTAACAATTCAAATCCCCCCACCCCCACCCCCTCAAAAGTCCACCAACCCTCTTTCTTTCTGCCTCTTTCTTCCATCTGCCGTTCCTTCATCCTCTTCATACATGTTTTCATGTTCAAATTAGCATTATACATATAGGTTTGTTTCTATTGTTTTATTATT